TGATCCTGCCTGTGAGTTTTGCTGCCACGTCAGCTATTTATTTTTGATTATTAAAGTGATTATTATTTTACGTCCTGGCCTCTGCGTCCTGTCTGCACACGGGTTCGTTCTTGTTCAGCTCAGCCTGAAAATCCTGACAGAGAGTGGCTGGACCTTATTCCATTCTGGAGTTGCCTCTGGTAAGAAGCGCTGGGGTAGTTTACTCAAGCTGAAAAAGGAGCCTTGTGAGGCCTTGTTGGCTGGTAGAAACGGAAGTATATCTGCAGGCCAGATGGGCTGCAGCCCTGACTGTTGCTGAGGTAAAAATTTCAGCTGTGCAGGAGTTTGATGAGGCCTTGGATAGAGACTCTCGATCAGCTTTGAAAAGAAACCAGCTGGGGGGGAGATAAAGTGCTAAAAGTGTTAGCATTTACTTACACTGTGTAAAGTGGAGGAACTGTGTATAGTATAGGGTATATACCCTACTATTATAGAGTACAGGATTACCACGAAAAGACTACTATTTATTTACCCATCACCTTTCATGCCTGTGGAATGTTTCCAACACATTGTTGAATCGGTGCCATGAAGAATTAAGGAAGTTCTAAAGTCAAAATGGCTCCAGTTTGATACAAGCAAGATGTAACAAAGTAGCTGGTGAGTGTCTACTATCTATAGACAAATATTGTTAATGTCATTATCATTTAAATCCTCTGTGGCTGGACTCAAGCCCCAAATCACTCCTCTTACACAATTTTTTGGATGATGGTTTCCTCTGGTATCGGCTGCTGTGCAGCTGGAAGGATTTTTACTGAAACTTTTTTAGTTTTGGACATTTGTTATGATGCATAACCATGGCAACAAGGCAGTTTTCTACAACCAACAGCAGCTGATTAACATCTCAAAAGCTCAAGTAATATCTCAGCTACAGCCCCAAATCTCAAATGAGTTGAAAAGGATGTTCTGTGGATGCATTCTCATCTACCTGCCAGCTGAGCTCAAGTGCCTGACCACTGAGATCCTGGAACTAGCAGGAAACACGGCTCATGACAGTGGAAGGACAGGATCATCCCTCGGCGCCTACAGTTGACTGTCCGCAGCGACGAGGAGCTCGGCAGAGTGGCCATCGCTCTGGGAGGAGTTCTGCCCAGCATTTGGGTGGTCCTACAGCCCGGGGGTAACCGAGAGACCAGCAGAGTCTGGGTGGACGGATCAGACGGCATCTGCAGCCAGTTTTTTAGGATCCACTGTGGGATGGACCTTTACAAGAGATCCTTCCTGTCTACAGCCATCAGTATCTATAACATCTCTTTATGAAATGAGTATAATGAGTTACAACAACAAATAATTTCCCTCTGGGATTAATAAAGTATTTTTGAATTGAATTGAATTATTGCCCCTTTCTGTTAAGAGATGCAAACAAAATCAATATCAAGGCGTAGTATCTCATTAAATGAAATACTACGTCATCATTTTGAGATGCTCTCTCATAAATATGAGATACAAAGTCATAATCATAAAATAGTATCTCATAATTTGAAAACGCTAAGTCATGATATGCTAAATCATGGTTTAGAGTTGCTAAGTCAGTTGCGAGATGTCATTTTGAATTTGTAATTTCGGCCTAGCATGTAAAGATTATGATTTAGAATCTTATGGGACATGGAGTCATATTTATGAAGTGCTGTCATAAGAGATAATGTCTCAACATCTGAGACTTTGAATCATAATTATTTTATAGTATCTTATAATTTTGAAATGCTTTCATAGTCTTGAGATAGTATCTCATAATTATGAAATGCTATATTTTATGAGATGTTAAGTCATAATTATGGTTTAAAAAGCTTTATTTTCTCAGATTTGTAGAAATGGGTTTCTATAAAAGTATGATGAGTTACCCTGTTTATGGAAAGCCCCTTAAAACGCCTAGCATTCAATCGGGTAATGGGCGACTTCCAGATGTGCTGGTTTCCCAGCTTGTCAAAGGACTCTGGATCTCCTCTTGAAGAAGAACAAGAAGGTAATGTGTTCTCCTCTGACCTCCTGCTGGTTCATGTTCAGAATTGTTTCATCTCTCCCATACAGGCAGCCATAACAGTGTTCCTGCACAGATCTGAGCAGGCTGGTCCATCTCAGACACTAACATCACTGTAAGCACCATCATTATTTCCAGTAGATAAACAAAAACAAATACAGAGTAAATTAAAACTTTAGGCCTGCATTTCATACGGACAGAACCTGATTGTTTTGAACAGAATTCATTGTGAATCTGCATAATTTTTCTAAGAGGTTGCAGAGAAACCAACAAAACATGTTTTCTTATGTTGCGCCATCAAAAACAAGGGATTTTAACTAGAAAGATCAATATCCTGATGCATGCTCAATAATCCAGGTAGAAAAATCAACCTCAGCTGTTTGTCCTGTTCATATTCCAACAGCTGCTGTTTCTTTGTGTGTTTGCATGAGGCTGGTGTAGTTAGTTTAATCTTAAAAAAAGAAACTTAGCTAGTTTTTTTAAAACTACCTTAATTAGGTCTTAGGGGCTATGTAAAACCATCTTTTTTTATTTTGTAAAGGACAAGCAGCATGTTGCATTGGTCTCCTGAAGATGAACTCATTTGACACTAATCCCACCTTGTGGCCAAACAGATTTTGTTCACTAGTGGTTCTGATTATGCCTTTTCGTTTAAAATACACTGAACAACAATATAAACACAACACTTTTGTTTGTGCTCACATTTATAATGAACTGCTCTCAAATGTCTAAGGGTTTTTTTTTCCCATGTACACAATAATTCATTTTCTCTCAAATATTGTTCACAAATTAAATTAACTCCTTTTGCGTACCTAGTTTATTTTTGTATTTTTGCCCTGATGCATGCTCAATAATCCAGGTAGATGAAACTAACAAGGTTGAGTCAGGTCCTCTGTACAGATTCTTCTTTGTTGAAACGTTTCGCCTTTTATTCAAAAGACCTTCAGTCTGAGGAGCTGCAGCACCTTCTCATAGTGGATCATCCAGTTTGCTGGTGATAGCCAAAACCAGTTGTTCACATGCAAGAAGATGACCATCAGCCTATCAATAAATTGTTAGCACCCTGATGGCTGCTTGCTATTCACAGAGGGCTGAGTGATACTAGCAATAACAGTATTGTAAGAGGGGGACAGTGGAACACAGAGGCCTCCGCCCCGTTTAATGATGGACAAGTTCTCTTCACAAAGATGGCTTCTCTCAAACTAACGTTCCTCTCTATCCAGGATGTGAACACCTTCATCCCTGAATTAGTGACCGTTGGCTTGGAGATGAGTGTAGACCACAGAGTCCTGGCCTGATGGTGTTGATCTTCTGTGCTGGTCCATCCTTTTGGCCAGTGGCTGTTTAGTTTCCCCGATGTAAGACTGATCACAGCCCTCCTGACACTGAACAACATACACAATATTACTCTGTTTGTGCCGGGGGACTGGATCTTTGGGATGGACCAGTCTTTGCCGTAATGTATTTTGAGGTTTAAAAGCTGCTGGGATGTCATGTTTAAAAAAAATAAATGTCTCAGTTTCTCTGATACTCCTGCAACATATGGAATGACCACTGGTCTGGGTTCTTCTTTTTCTCCTGATGGCAGACTGGAGTCCTGTTTGGGTTTCTTCTCTGCTTTCTGGAAGGCCCAGTTAGGATATCCACATTGCTCTAGAGCCTGTCTTGTGTGGGATTTCTCCTTCTGCCTGGCTCTTGAGTTAGTGGGGACGCTGTCTGCTCTGTGATACAGTGCTGATGACTCCTAACTTGTGCTCCAGCGGTTGATGGGAGTAAAACCACAAATACTGGTCTGCATGGGTAGATTTGCAGTACACATCAGTTTACACATGTCCTCCATCAGAAACTGAGACCTCACATTCCAAGAAAGCCAACCTTTTACATCTTCTTGTGTGAACTTTATAGATTTATCTACAGAGTTGATGTGATCAGTGAAATGGGTAGAGTCTGTGGTGCATAACACAGTAAACAGCCTTGTCCTGCTCCAGATGTTACAGGCACTGTGTCAGCTTCTTCTAACCACTTTCTGCATCTCATTCACCATCAATCAATACCCGCTTCTTCCTTTTCAGGTTGTGGGAGTCACTGGTGCCCAAGTCCAGCCATCATTGCGCGAGAGGTGGGAGACAGCCTGTACAGGTCTCAAGTCCATCACAGGGAGACAGAGACAAATTAGACAAATAACCATTCACTCTCTCACTCATACCTAGGGACAATTTACCAATCAGCCTAACATGCATGTTTTTAGTCTGTGGGATGAAAATGAAGTACCTGGAGAAAACCCAGGCATGCATGGGGAGAAAATGCAAACTCCACCCAGAAACACCCCCGGCCAGATTTGAACCAGGGCGACCTGCTCGCTGAGAGGCAGCAGCTCTACCAATTCCAGATCTCAGTCTGCTGGATTGTTAAACAGGGGCGGAGACATCCGTGTTCTACTGTCCCCCTCTTACAATGCTATTACTAGTATCACTCAGCTCTCTGTGAAGAGCAAGCGGCCATCAGGGCACTAACAATCTATTGTTAGGCTGATGGTCCTCCTTTTGCATGTGAACAACTTGGCCACAAACATATGGTTTTGGCACCAGTAAACTGGTTGATCCACTAAGAGAAGGTGCCGCAGCTCCTCAGACTGAAGGTTTTTTTGAATAAAAGACGAAACATTTCAACAAAGAAGAATCTATCCAGAGGACTGGACTCAACCTTGTTAGATTATTATTATTATTGGCTCACATTTTTCTACTTCCAATAGCTCAAACAAATCCGTTATAGCTTTTTCAACAAAGTCATTGAGCAGCAGGCATTGATTCACACTCTGTTTTATGAAGAACATTTAATTTAGCTCATTTATTCCGTGCATTTCCTCTACATTTTATTTTGAAACTTCCTATTAATGTACTGATGGTTTATTTTTGAAACCTTAAAACCGGAAGTCGTTATTTCCGTTGGCTACCTGGACAACGTTACGAGGCGCAGCTGCGGTATTTGAAAGCGGCAGACAGGAGAAGGGGCCGATCACAGCTCGACACGGATGGACCCGGTGCTGACGGAGTGAAGTATGGGCTCCGCGGCATCGCAGTCATGGCCAGATCCACCAACAGAAGCACGGAGGACGGGGACCCCTGTGTAAGCACCTCCACGGACCGCGGGGAGGTGCGGGACCTCGCCGAGCCCCGGGAGCTGTCTCTGGAGGAGGTGCTGAAGTCCTACGAGCAGCCCATAAACGAGGAGCAGGCATGGGCGGTGTGCTACCAGTGCTGCAGCGGGCTGCGAGTGCCCCGCCCGCCGCCCGGGAGGGTCCGCCGGGTAAAGGACGCGTCCTCCATCCTCCTGCACCGGGACGGAACCGTGTCCTTAAAGAGTGAGCCCCGACACGACGGTAAGACAGCACCAACTTCCCTCAGTCCTGTAGCTTTCACTCAAATCAAACACAGAAAAGTGAAAACTTAACATCGTTTTCCTCTTTAAAAAGTTAGCGCTTACATTACATTAAACCCAACATTATATCCGGTGATACATTGCCAAGTTATATGCAAATTATATGCAAAACTACCTTCTTTTTTTAGCTTCTCCAGACTGTGACCAATGTTATTGTTTGTTATTACTATAAACTACTTGCTCTTTGGCCCACCATATTATTGCCGAATTGAATATTGTCTACCACTGTCTCAATAAGTTTGTTAAATCTTGTTTTCTTTTGTAAAAACATTTAAATATAGACAAAACTTTTGAAAATATTCGAATTTCAAACAGAGTTTGGCACACATGGAACAAACCGCTCGAGTAGCAGCTGCAAACGACATTTCAGTCCCATCCTAAACAGCTGAGTTTATCGGCTTCTTTATTTTGAGACTGAATAACCATGAAGCTTTAAAAAAAAAAATAGACTTATGCCTATTTATATTGTATCTGGTTCCAGAGCCAGCCAGGTTGACTTGAATGCCGGTAAGTTAATCAATTATTCAGAGAGCAGAGCTTTACTCGAGCATCCTCTTATTCAAGCACTGTTTTGGAGATTTCAAAAGGTGAATCCAAGCTCAAATGGTTTTATGCAGTTTTCTGTCAGTTTAATTTCCTACAAATCTACATGTCAGCATGTAAAGTTTGTGTTCTCACTCCGATCTCAGCATCAGCAGCGAGCATAACCTGAATCCAGACTAAATATGTATATTACTTTTCATTGTTTGTGGTAAACTTGTATCCACATTTCTATGTCATATTGTCTTAGACATTGCCTATAATGATTTAAAGACACTTGTGTGTTATTTAAATGCTATGTACAGTTTATTAATTGAGTTTTTGAGTAATTTACAATCTATACAAATCAATACAGTAGCGTGTGTGGATTTTCTTGTGCCAGACACCTGTAGGACCTGATGAAACCACGAGTGAAAGATTTTAAAACAACATTTTGTGTCTTGTTGACAATAAGTATCCCAACTTTACATTGCAAATCTGTAGCACCAGTAATATGTCGGGTTTACATTTATGTATATTATTTGGGGACTGTGGTATAGCTCGGTGGCCATTGCCGCGGTCCTGTAATCCTGAGGCTGCTGGTTTGAGTCAAGGTTGCGTCAGGTAAGGTATCCGGTCAATGCAATTGCCAGACCTTTGGTGGGTAGTTCACTCTTGGTAGTGACTCTTGCAGATAACAACATTTAGGCACCATATTTGTCCGTTGTTTTTGTCACAAAGGTGCAGAACTTCAAGTACTTAGGTTTGGCTGTCAAAGGAAACAGAAGTGTGGGAAAGAGGTGAAGAAGAGGGTGTAGTGGATGGAGAAAAGTTTCAGGAGTGATTTGTGGTCAAACATTTGCGGCAAATGTCAAAGGAAAGGCTTACGAGAGTGGTGAGGCAATCCGTGTTGTATGGTTTGGAGTCAGAGACATTGACAAAAAGACAGAAGAAAGAACTGGAAGTGGCAGAGCTGAAAACGTTGAGGTTCCCCTTAGGACTGACAAGGATGGATAAGATTAGGAATGAGACCCAGGTTGAACAACTGGGAGATAAAGTTAGAGAGGCCAGACTGAGATGGTTTGGACATGTCCAGAGGAGGGACAGTGGGTATATTGGTAGAAGGATGTTAGAAATGCAGCTGCCAGGAAAAAGACAAAGAGGAGATATATGGATGCAGTTAGAGAGGACATGGAGGTAGTTGGAGTGAGGACAGAGGATGCAGAGGACAGAGAGACACGGAGGAGGATGACTCCCTAAAGATGGAACAGCCACAAGAACAAGATTTGTCCTCTGTTTTTCCCTTTTATTATTCTGACTTAAAAAATAATGATAAACATATGCATACATCTGCAAATAAAACAAATGGGTTACATGTCTACCTTTGACGCAACAAATTTAACGATTTATTGATAGAATGACATGTTGATAAGCAATGGGTGATGGGAACTGTTGGTTTTGCTTCAGAACCTCAGCCCTTTTAGTTCTGGTTTATGTTTGGCAGTTTCCAGAACCAGTTTTTGTGCCATTGGCAAGGCTAAGATGGGTCGTCTGAAACACAAAGAGAAAAGCAGCTTGATGGTGTGCTGTGTGGAAATAACAGTAACAGCTTTGTACAGAACATTTACTTTTTTTATGCTTTTAACAGCTACGATAGGTGGATTGGGCTCTTTGGTTCTTCAACAGTGGCTCTGACAAAACACATGTAAATTAATATTTTTACAGTATTTATAACCACAATAGGAACAAGTCATATTGTAGGAATTCTCTTTCCAGCAATACGTGAAAAAAACCATTTCTGTACCAGACTGATATTTTGTTGAGACGAAGAACAAACACATCAATCAATTGTTTTTATCCATTTTACCATATTAATTTAACTTCCAGCCACACAGTGAGGTCTGTCTCTGAATTTCCATGGATACATTAAACATTTTACATGTTTAAAGCGGGCAGGTGAAAAACAGAAAGTGCAGTTTTACAAATATCTTCCTTTGATACAAGTCAGTGAAATCATTGCGTTTTGCAAAAATGGTCAGTCTGAGAGCGATAAGAATTAAAAGTAAAGGCTTGTCTTTTTCAAAACCTAAATAGAAGTTTAGAAAATGAAGTTTGCTATTAGAGAAAATTGAGTATGTCACACTTAAATACCCAACTGAATGTCCTAATTTATACCTTTCCTCAAATAATTTACTGGAATCCAAATAAATGTTTTTATTTTTATGTTGGTAGACTTGTTTTTTTTTTTGTTTGTTTTTCCTCCACAAATATAGTTAGGATTCATTTAGATAGTGGTTAAATTTTATAAAAGGGGTTACACACAAACTATTTTCCTCAGTTTCATAAGAGTTTGGTATTTTCCTTTGTCCTAAATTGTAAAAATACTGATAAATGTCAACAGTTTGTTTTACTTCTTAAATTTCAGAACAAGTTTTATATGTAGTATTTATACTCCTTTCTAAACTAATAATAAGTTGCCTTTTTCCAAATGTTTGTCTTTATTTAATTCCTCAAAAAGGTTTTTACTTATAAACGTACTATATGAGAAAGGGCATATAGCGTTTTAGTTGCAAAAGTTGTCGACTCCTAACTTCCTGTGTTTTACGGTGTTTTGCTTTACCTCCAGTGCAGAAAGCTCCGACTTGTGTCTGGTCGTATCAGTGACTTTATTGTTAGTTGTTGGTTATAATTGACTGATCATTGAATCTGCTGGACTTCTACATGACCAGAGGATCCTTCGTCAGATGCTCTGAGGTTCATGAAAAGAGCTGTTTATTCTTTATGATCCAAAAGTAAACAAGCTGTGTTGGATGAGTCACAGTCTGCATTATTAATATTGGCAACAAATAAATTTGTTTGCATCAATTCGTGCAGGACTCACTTTTTACACAGCTGGGCCAGTGGAGGAAAAATACCAAGTAATGTCGTATCTAAAATTCCTTATCAATGAAAAACACCTTTGTGGATTTTTACATTTTTTTCCACACATCATACCAATGATAGTTATGCATAAATAACTGGCTATATTTAAAAAAAATCAGGAAGAAAAAGTCTAAACATCATCATTATACTGTGAAATCTACACAAGAAGAGGAGATTGACATGAACTCAGACAGTTTAGCTACACAGAATTTTATTGTAAAATAATAAAAATACACATATATAAGCAAAACAACCCTACCTTCTTGTTATCTTATTCATTTCTGTCTCAAAAAGATGAAACATACCCTTTTTTTTTTACCAGCCCTTCCGAGACCACTGCTGTTCTTTTCCCGTCATCAGTGTGCTCTGGAGTAAAACGTGACTGATGGTAAACAGGCGAGCCTGAGCGCAGCGTTCGGATGCTGCTGACATCAGCTGCCTTCACACAGAGCTCAGACCTGAGCTCAAACAGCCACCGTAACAAGAACCGAGTCATGATGCTGCAGTGAGCTCCCGTTAGGCTCAAATGTTCAGATTATGAGCCTGCGGCCATCTGGACCTCAGTTACCGAGGTGTGTTTCAGAACATCTTTGTTTGGACAAACATGTTGGTGTTGGCAGATACTTCAGTGACAGCTGGTAAATCCTGTATTGATCAGCTGACATGCTCAAGTTCATCCTAACAGGAGGTTTATCTAGAAAAATGTTCTAAATAATGGATTTCAATCTAGTTTCCAAAAACACAAAGTTGCGTTCTAAAGTTATAAAATAGAATGCAAAGACAACTCTCAGTTTGGAGTGGTGGTAGCTGAGAGTTGTCCTCCAGCATACAGCATGTTCAGCATTGATCTTAGGTCAGCAACGAGTCCACGGCACCCGACCTTTACTCTCATTTCTACATTTATATCCACAGTTATCTGACGGAAATCTATCAAACTATTTTATGACTCTGCTCAGTTTGTCTCCACTGATACTTATAGCTTCTAAACGTCCTCCTTTTACTTCCACTGAGCCACACTCTGTCTGCAAACTCTACCAGAAGTTGTAATAAATGTCATAGGAACGTCGTTAGTCCTGGCGCTAAATGTCTGCGTGTGAAAGCTTCTTCTAATCGGTGAAGGACAACAAGCAAAGGATGGAGCTAATCTTGATTCACTGAGTAAACATAGCAGGAAGTCAAAGTCCACATGTTCCTGCTGCTCCACCCAGCTGAACAAATCGCTGGCAAATCACAGATCATTCAACAGAAATAGTTTTATAAACTATATAAGTTTGTTGTTTTTCCCCAATACAGTTAGTTTTTTTCAACTTTCATTGAATAAATGCATAATGTGGTGAAAAGTTCAAGCAGCATCATTTAAAACTGACGTGTGTGTCTCGGCAATTACAGATGTCTATCTGTAGAAAACTGCGTGCAACAAGCTGATGAGTGCCTTTATCTTTATAATGTTGTTCTTTAACAGTAATTCTGTCAATAAACATCTGATTATCTGGATGTAAATCCTGTTTCATGATGAAAATGGGATTTTCATTTGAAAATTCATAGGAAACACCATGGCGGTCTGACATATGTCTGTTGCTACCAGCTTTTTTTTTCTCACCTCAGCAGCAAATTTCAGCAGCATTTCTGGCATCCATGAAACTCTCAGGGACGGTCCAGAATGTGGGCCCTTGTTTGCTGCCAGCTTCTCTGTGAGCTAATTACCCAGTCAGCTTACATGCAGTTAAAAAGACGCATTCATTATTTTAACAAATTCAAAATAAAAAGTCGAAAAGAGTATTTAAAAGTATCTACACATTTGAAAATTTGGATTGTTGTTATTTGATATCTTCTTTGTTGAGATGCATTTCATCAGTAGTTGACGCTTTAAGTTTATATCTGTGCTGCAAGTGTCACAGAAATACGTTGCACGATAGCTTTTGTGTTTTCTGTGAGTGTCAGGAAACAGAAAAGAGTTACGCTGCTGGACGAGCTCTGACACCTGTGGCTGCGTGAGGATATGAAATGAGTTCTGGGAAAGTTAGTGCAATGGCTGTAAATGTTCCGCTCCTACTTTTAATCTGTCTTTGTTTTATTTATCATCAACCCTGCTCTTCTGAACCAATGTCTTCTGTCACGTCGTGATTTCTCCGTCCTTATTTCCATGGCAACAGGAGGCAAAGTCCACGTTGGGAGAGTTTTTTTGTGTTGTGAACGAAAGAAGAGTGGGTGTCAGGCTTCTGAGGAGGAAATGTTTTCCATCATTAGCCAGAATAAACTGTGTGTGACCAACAGCTAATGAGAAGGAACTCTGTGGGGCGCAGTGACAACTTATCATTAATTCTGACACAAAACTCAGGAAAGTGGTTCGATGTTTGCTCGTTGGCAGATTGTGTTTTTCTGTGTTTAAGATTTTTTTTGAACAGATATTGTTGGTGCAGACTGAAACGTTTGTTGGACAGATTGTCAGACATTTGTGTGGGATTTATTTTTTTTTATTATTTTAGCTACATGGTCAGAATAAAATAAAAACTGTTCTTATTGGAACTTTAATACGACTGGGTGAAATTGTTCATTGTTTCCCATCTATGAAAATTAGAAAGCGTTTTTTTTTTGGTTAAACAATGAATTTGTCATTTAGACACCATTTGGCTTTTTTTTTTTTTTTTTAATCTGCCTTTTCACTCATGATGTGATGTTAAGTGTTGTTTAGAAAGAAGGAACTTTATAATTATAAAACATAAACCCTGTGTAGTGGTAAAATGCGAGTTCAGATTGTACAGATCGACCACTTTCCAGTGTGTTTGAATCAATTGTCTCTTAAAATCAGCGCACCTTAAAAGATACACGAGTATTATTATCAACCTGACTTTATTTTCCTGAAGCTTCTGTCTTTGTAAGCGATCTGTTTTCCTGGAGCAGAGCTGGACCGATCCAGATTCCTGTCCTTTTTTTGTGCTTGCTGGGCTGTAACTGTGGGAACCTGATGGAGGTATCATTGGTTTCACTCTGTGACCCGGGCCATGCATAATCTGAACCTGTCTGACAGGTTTACGAGTCTTCATGTTATCGTCCCGCTCCTGTGTGGAGGGTGTTGTAATGGACTTTCTTTTTTTGTTAATGGAAGCAGCGTCTCCGTTCACACAGGAAACAGTGAGGCTCTGTCGGGTGAAGCTCCACGTCCTGCTGCAGACACTTTGCTGTTGACAGCCATGGAATGTTTAGCCAGTTCTATGGTGGAAAAAACTAATTTCTGATTTTAAAAAATATTTACTTTACAGGGCAATTCAATTGATCTTAATATTAGGAAGTGATTAAACCATCTCGAAAGCTTCAGGATCTCAAAAGAAGGTACATGAACATTAAAATAAACCATTATTTCTTATCAAGGGTGAAGAATCTTGTTGGGCATTAAATAAAGTCCCAAACAGAAAGCAAATGTGAAAGTACTTTAAAAATTATTTTGTCCAAAGCAACATGGCTTTGATGCAGCGGTGAGCTTCCGTCTCTCTCCATCCTGATAGTCTCCTGCTCCTCCTGTCCATCCACTCTCCCATTTCTCGTCTGTAAGAGCTGCTGATTGAGGATTTTCAGGCCCCTCGGGTGTCGTTACTGACATCTGAGCCTGGAGAAAAGCCTCGTTTTATTCTCACACAGGCATGCTAACTGGACTGCAGGACAAAAGCTCAAGTTCAAACTGGGACACGTGGGTGCCGAGCTCTGTCTTACAGCAGCTGTGACAATAATAACATAATTTTATGCTGTTGCAGTTGAAGAATCTTCTAAACACATTTTGAAACATCCCAAAGTGAACTTTATATACTTTAAATCCATTTCATGTCTCATAATGATTGTATTATAAGTTAAACAGTTTCCCTGATCAAATCTTTTGTATTTCATATCAGTTTTGCCTCAATTTTCATTTTTTGGATTTTGAACATTAGCAGGAAGAGCAGCTGTGTGGCGGCTGTGCTAGCAGCAAATACACAGTCAACATGGCTCATTATACTTCAGTAAACATGTGCATCTCTCATCAAGTGTAGCTGAATTACTATAGTATGTCATTTCTGACCACTCAGCTCAACTGATACTCTTAAAGTTTTAATAAGTGTTTTAAAAAAACTCCTAATTCTTTTATGTCTTGCTTTTGATTTGCCAGACCTTCTTAAAGTGCTCTTGATCTTTAGTTCTTTCAGCTTTTTGAATGTTCATTCAATCAGAGTTAGATTTTTCCGTATCGATATCTTGATTGCGTTTTATGTTTTTCTGTCTCCAGATGAAGATGGGCCTCCTCCTCCTGTGATTGCAGAGCGTCAGGTGAGAAGGAAATACAAAGACTTTGTGGTAATAATGATTTTCAGTATCAATTATTGTGAAAATGTTTAAATCAAGTTTTATGTTCTTTGTTGAAATATGTCTGCTGCCACACAGGTTTTAATTACTCTTTAATATAATAACAGATAGATTAATGGAACTGTCTTATGTTTAGTGGATGTTCAGTTCATTCCTGTGGAGAAGTGATGCGTAGTCAGTGTCTAACCTGCACAAGAGTCAGTCTGTTCTTGTAGTTTGTAAAGTTGCAAAAAACAATGAAACAGCATTATATTAAAAGCCCACCTTCTCTCAACTAAAAGAGAATTTAGTTCTTACACATTTTCAACTTTTAGATACATATTTGTATAATTCAGAAATAATATCCAGTGCAATATTTAAACCAAGACGATTTTCAAACAAAAGCAAATCTTGTACTGTTATTTCTAATAAATTAGTTTTATGTGTTAAATATGTTTGTTAGGTATGAAAAATGAGAACATTTCCCACTGTCTTATGTTAGTTTTCCTCGTTGTTCATTGGTCCAGATGGTTCAGTCTCTTGGTGTGGCCATCTACCGGGCTCTGGACTGGGGACTTGATGACAGTGAGGAGCGGGAGCTCAGCCCGCAGCTGGAGCGCCTCATCGATCGAATGGCGAGCGGAGACCCAGGCGAAGTGGGCAACAGCAACACTGGGAATGGCACGACTGATGAGGGGTACAGTGGGCAGGAGGAGGAGGAGGAGGAAGAGGAGCAGCAGGAGGGAGGCACAAGGCCAGTTTGTACGCTCCGTCAGGTGATGGTGCTTTGTGCGTCCCGTCTGGCCAACCCAAGCCTGGCTGCTGAGCACTACCAGGCCGTCTGCCGGGCTCTGTTTGTGGAGACTCTGGAGCTGCAGACTTTCCTCATCAAGATCAGAGATGCAAAGGAGGTTTGTGAAGTTATCAGTTTACTAAACACAGAAAAAGTTAAACGAGAGCATAACTATCAGGAGAACTGAAAGAACTTTTCCTCCCAAGCAAAGTATGTATACGCAAAAACAAAGCTTCACTATTATCAGATTAAATTTGATTAAACTGGTTTCTCAGCAGTGTTTGAGAAAATAAAACAGACTGTGCTCAGTTAAAAAAACAAAAATGTTAATATAACAGACAAAATGTTAATTTTCTTTGAAGGCTGAGTGCTGAATGACATAAAGTTTGCTGAAAAATCTAAAACTGAGTTGTTAAAATACAAGGAAGTTTAAAGGAACAATACGGTAGCTAAAAACTAAAAGGAACAGAATGGTATAGCTAAAACATTTAAAGTGCTATAAACCTATCTAAAAGCTAAAATAAGCAAAGCAGTAGCTAAAAGAAAAAAATCAATAAGAGTAGCTAAAAGTTAAATTAGCAAGGCAGTATCTAAAAGAAGCACAAGAAGACAGAAATATGTCAAGAATGCTGAAGTGCTGACTCAGCTACTACACAATAAGTTAATTTGATTGTTTCACAGTAGTTATGTTCTGAAACAAAAACACTGTCTGCAAAACAAGAAATGTCAAGTATGCATCATTACAGCTGAAGACTTTGAATTGATTAAAACTTGGTATAAACGTTTTAAATAATTACATGTAAAAATGACCCATTTCAAATATTGACAACATAAATAATAATTTTTTTTGTTATAATCCATTGAAATTGATTTGTACATGTACATAAGAAACATCTAATCTAATGAAATCTGTTGGAATCTGTTGGACTCCTGGCAGGGACCAATGCAGACATGTTCCTGTTTTTAGTTTTCTACGTTCGCCTTAGAATCGAGCTGTTTTTGGTTACTTTTCTTTTTTTTTTAGCCTTCCTATTTGTAAAATAAATAAATAAAATTTGTATGACTTATTATAACTGTTTATTGATGTTGCTGTTGTCCATTGTTGTCATCATTCTTTGTTGAAATCAGGTCTCTCTTGTAAATGAGTCCTCGAGGCTCAATGGGATTTACCTGTCTAAATAAAGGTTGAATGAATTGAATGAATGAATCTAAACATCAATTGAGGTAGTTGAACCAGTATAAAAACTAAATAAGGAAGATAAAAGTACTGTATTTTTCAGACTATAAGGCACACTTAAAATCCTTTTAATTTTCTCAAAAATTGACAGTGAGTCTTATAATCGAACAGATTTTATGTGGTTATTGTGAATGAGTTGAATAAAGTTTGACTTCTCTGACTGTTTCGTTTCTCTTAATGCGCCTTATAATCCGGTGCGCCTTATAGTTCAACAAATACGGTACTTGAAGTTAATTTATGAGTTCTACAAGTGGTCTCATCCAATTTTATATAGTACAATAAAAACATTTACGTTTGAAAATCGACTAGTAAATGCTGTAAGAACAAATTAAAGTAAATTAAAGTTCTAAAGTGCATTTAGAAGCTTGAAAGATGAATTATTAGCATGAAAATTTTGAACCAGCCTAAAAAAATAGAACAAGTAATAGAAAACATAGTTGTCACAATTCATTCTTTTATTTAAGTAATTTTTCTTGCTGTTTTATTTTGCAGATGCTGAAGAAGATTTCAAGTGAGGAGTCTCTGGAGGACAGATCTACAGCTGAGCTGGACGCGCTGAAGCACAGAGACTGGGTGAGACGAGACGACTCTCTGTGACACAGAGGACAATACAGCCGTGTGTTCGCCCGGAGAAGGCAGAGTTGTCTCGTTCACAAATGCAGATGTGCCGCTGTTGTTGTTTTTTTCCTCCAGGCTCATCTGTGGGTGCAACTGATGAAGGAGCTCAGACAGGGAGTGAAGCTGAAGAAGGTCCAGGAGCAGCCGTTCAACCCCCTGCCCACCGAGTTCAGCCTCACTCCGTTCGAGATGCTGATGCAGGACATTCGAGCTCGCAAATTCCAGCTACGCAAAGTCATGGTGAGAGTCCCGACGTAGCTCTGTCAGCGTCTGCTCTGTCCAGGCAGTGCTGCAATCACTGAAACAGTTCATGTATCACAAGAAAAAACAAAGGCCTAACACCCTTTGAAGGAATTCATATCACCTGCCACCTTTCATGCCAGAGTTTAGACGGAGATCATCTTCCAATGAGAAAGTTGTTTTGGTCAAACCTTGAAAATGACGTTATACATGATCTCATGTGATGCGGTGAGACCTGTGAGAAGATCTCTCAGCTTCTACCACACCAAATTTAGTGCAACATCTGTAAAAATGACAGAAATGTAGCCATTTTTTGTGTTAGCTAAGGTTGTTTTGCTGTGGTGGCCATCTTGAATCACTCTGCCACATCATCATCTGTGTACATCAAGTGTTTTCTTTCTGTGAGTTTTGATAAATTTGTCCAGCGGTTCTCAAGATGTTTTGGACACAGACAAAAACATTATCGCTCAGATTTTGCTTTTCTGTGTCGGGTGATATTTAAGTGTAACGATTAATATATTGAGTGGAAATGTTGAAATGTGTGAAAGTTTTAAATGTCAAATCATGTGGTTAAAAGCCGTTAATCTGGAGACACTGGAAGCAGCTGAAATATACAAAAAGATCAGATGCAGTGCGTCCCAAACTTCTTGACTCCTTACCCACAAAATGTCTGTGACAAAAGCTAATGACCCATTTATTTCTGATTTAAATATACAAAAAGCTGCTACTATTTTCATCCTCTGTACATTTATAGTAAAAAATATGTCATATACAGTCATTTTTAAATGTAAGTTAATATTTGGAGATTAAATAGGGGCCCCTAGTTGGTGTCTGGTTACCAGCATTGAGGTCTGAACTCCAACTTTGTGAACAACAGATTTAGAGGCAAGTTTTAAAAACATTTCAGTGGTTAGACATTGATGAGATGAGAAGTGTTATGTTTGAGCAACTGAGTCCTGGATGAAGTTAGGAGACATAATAAACTGAACTTCTCGTCACCAGTCAGCAAAAAGTTGTCAAAATATCCAGGACAGCCAAGTGCAGCATGGGATGGGGAAGAGAAAATAATATAAAAGACTGTCAGAAAGCCGGTTACAGAGTTATATTTAAAGAGCTAAGTCACATCTTTCTTTTTAAACTTTATGTAAAGTGTGTATATTATGGAAACAGCTTGAGTGTTCAATAAATACCAATGAATTGATCATTTTTGTCATTTTAAAAACCATTAAAGTTGCGCTGCTGTGAAATGTTTTTAAAACCTGACGAGGTTCATAAGAGGCAGCAGACTTTGGACACGAGAGGGACTGAAGGCTTCGAATCTTCTCATTTTTACTTTCCAGGAACTCCACAGCAACACATCGTGTGTTGGCTTTTCTACAGAAAGAAAATGTTCTGAGCTGTTTCAGGTAGAGAGCGGCCTGGAGGACTTCTGCGCAGTCACTTACATTATTCAGACTCACAAACAAAATATTAATGACTTTTTCTACAGTCTTGTTGTTTTTCTGCACAGCAGTTCATTTGCAGAATCGATGGACAGCATAATGCTCTGTCGTTGGATATTGCTGTTGTGTTTGCGGCTTATACATCAAAATGAAGTCATACCATGAGAAACAATAAGATGTTAATGCAAATGTTGCTCCGGTGTGATTTAAATAGCTAAATGTTAAATCAACTTTTAGGCAGTTGCAATTCTGTGTTGTACTATTCTAACCATAACATGACCTCAATAACCATATATTCAAAGGGGCTGCAGCCCTGTGCAGTTAAAGGGTTTATTTTTATGCACTGTGCTAATGTTTGTGCGGCCTCTTTTAGGTGGATGGTGACATTCCCACCAGAGTGAAGAGAAATGCCCATGAACTGATACTGGACTTCATTAGATCTAGACCTCCACTTAAACCAGTGAGTTAAAGCACACTTTTACATTTATGAACTTAACTATGTTAAATATATACTGTACACAATGTCCATTTGCGTATAAATGAATAATACATAATTTTTGCCTTACAGGGCTAAGAAAAGCTTATTTTTCTTTGTTTAAAATGTGGATTTGTGGATGCGGTCTGATTCTTTCTTCACATTAGGTTTCAGAGCGCAGCCTTCCCCCTCCACCACCACAGCAGCAGTCCCTCCATGACCGGGTCCTGGCAGAGATCAAGCAGGAGAGAAAGCTCAGACCGGTGGCAGCACACAGCACCAGACGTAAGACAACAACCATCAGTCGTTTTTAAGTTATTGCAACAAAACTGACGACGGTTTAAAAAGGTCTGCGAGCAACGCCAATGATAAATGAGAGGCGTGTTGGTAATAGATCAACTTTAGCTCCTTCATTCTGCCTCTGTACTTCACACATGACATGACTGTGTAACAAAGACGCATCAGGCAGGAGATGAGAGGTGACGAGTAAAAATCACATCAACATTTCAACGAAACTCATTATTTTTAAGGAAATGTTTGTTGCACAGTGATGGCTGGAAATGGACACCAGTGACCCCCGTGACCTGAAAAGAAAGAAGTGGGTAAAGATAATGGATGGAGACTTTTATTCTTTGTTATTAATGTCACAAACCATTTTCCAAAGACTTAAACCAGGCTGTTTATGAAACCAGTCACCTTCTGTTTGTTGGCTTTCATTTAAAATGCAGGCATCAGATGATTCGCATTGATGTTTACTGACAATTCTGAGGCCATGGTTCTCAACCGTAAACAGGTGAAATGCCACCTCCGGATCGGGAGTGGGGGTGTGGGGAGTTGGTTGGTGAGGGTTGTGTGTGTGTTGGGGTGGGGGTGGGGGTGGGGGGTTGCTTCAGGTGGAAGAGTTAGGTATCTGGGTGTCTTGTTCCTGAGTGATTGAGCAGGAGCTAGACTGATGCATCGGAGCCTCATCCTCAGTAATGAGGGCGTTGCTTCAGTCAGTCGTGGTGAAGAAAGAGGTTTTTTTTTTCCATTTACTGGTTTGTCTACGTTTCAACCCTCACCTATGATCGTGAGGTATGGCTGAATAATCGAGCGAGATCCTGGAAACAAGCGGACGAAATTAGCGTCTTTTGTTGGGTAGCTGGGCTCAGCTCTAGAGATAAGGTGAGGAGCTCCGTCATCCGGGGGGAGCTCGGAGTAGAACTGCTGCTCCTTCGCATTAAAAAGAGTTTGTTGAGGTGGTTCGAACATCTGATTAGGATGTCTCATGGACGCCTTCCTTTAGAGGTTTTCCTGGCATTTCTCACTGGGAAGAGGCCCCAAGGAAGACCCAGAATTCACTTGAGGGATTAAATATCCTCTCTGACCTGAGAGATCCTTCAAGTCCTGCAGGAGGAGCTGGAGAGTGTCGCTGGGGAGACGGAGGTCTGGGTTTCTCTCCTGGACCTATTGCCTTCACAACCTGACTACTGATAAGTGGTAGAAGATGGAGATGGTTTATTTAGTTTGTTTTTTAAAGACATCAAAGTAGCATAACAAAATAAAAATTCATAGGAAAAAAATGTTTGATTGTATAAATACATACACTGAAAAATATTAAATATCCATCCATCCATCCATTTTCTTTACCCGCTTATTCCATTTTGGGTCACGGGGGTCGCTGGTGCCTATGTCCAGCAATCACTGTGCGAGGGGCGGGGTACACCCTGGACGGGTCGCAAGTCCATCACAGGGCCAATATTAAATATGTGAACACAAATTTTAAAGATATAAGTTTCATGTAAAGACCAACATGTTTATGTATTTTAGTGGTTCAGAGACCAAGGCATACCTGGGAGTTGTGGTTTCTGAACTTTTCTTTGTCACACAAGTTGTCTGTACAACACCCTATTTTATAACAGAGCTGTGAAGAAAACATGATTACTAAAATTAAAGAAACTGAAGGTTTCGTGCACGTCATGTATGTCGCCCGCTGTCTTGCATGTCAAAGTTTTAAATGAAGATGCTGCACAGTCTGTAAGAGTGGGACGACTGGACTACAGCACAAATAACAGTTAATAATTGAAAATGGCGTTGTGTTGTCCAACAAACAGACAATAATAACATTAGAGCTAATAATAATATAATCTTATAAATTTATCCAAAAGAGGCACAGGAGTAGTTTTCAGTTTAGAGCTGCACATGAGGAGGTGATCACATTTCACAGATATTGATCAGCTATTTACAGATCAAGGTCAGCACAATCGGCATGTCTGATGCTGATGTAAGAGGAAGAAGTCAAATAATGACCCAAGTATATTCTAAAATTATTCTAATATTTATATTTAATATTCTAAAATTGTTCAACAGTTTATCAAACAAGGACTCAAATGTCTTAATTTTCAGTTAACTAACTGAAAAGTCTCAGATTTGATGAAATGTTGTATTTGTGTTATAGAGTATGGTAAGTGTGTGGGATTTTCCCATTTAACAAAAAATCATCAAGAAGAAATTAAAGAATTTGCCTTTTTAAAATGTTTCCATTTTTGAAACTTGAGTACAGATCCCCCCCCCGCCCCCGAAAGCAATTATTGCTTTTGATGGTTTCTTTTTTTTACCATACTCTAGTATCTATAACTTTCCATATTTCCTGGAAAATAAAACAGTGATGTAAAAAGATGCTAAATGTTTCATTTTGTCCATCATCATACAGCCAGACTGCTAAACTAAAGCATTTAGTACAGTAAATGGTATTCAGTACAGTTTAAAGTTGTATTTTTCTCTATAAGAACATCTTCTTTCTGTTTTGTCTTGGAGTGAAATAAAACTATCGTTTTTATTTTTTGCAGCATTTTTGCCTTTTAACTTTCCATTGTTGTTAGCAGATAGTCCAACCTCTCATTTCAAAAACAACCAGTTTAATTTAGAATAAACATTAAATGTTACAAAGTACTGGAACAGCAACTTTGTTCATATACTGTAATTATTCATATAATCATTTTGTTAACGAGTTCCTGATGCTAACGTTGCATATTCTGAGAATCTCTTCCTTCTGATCTCCATACTCCTGACTTATTGCTCCTTACTGCTGTTTTTGGTTTCTCGTCCCTCAGCCTTCGGCTCTCTGCCCTGTCTGGCTCAGATGTGTCCTTGTAATGTCAAATCTACGTCGTGCATCGACTTGTCTGTGTCAGAGCCTAGGCCCCGGCAGCCGGCCCGTCCTCGCATCCTGCTCAAGGCTCCGACGCTGGCTGAGATGGAGGAGATGAACATTTCTGAGGTGAGCTCCAGTGCTGAGATTTTGGGGTTCTTGGGGGATGACTGTTATTATTTGTATGTTTGACACAGCAGCATGTTAGCTCCTGTTTGACAGCCTCAATTGGTTCAGTGGGATCAAAGGTGAACAGAGATGGAAAGAGTAATTTTACACAAGTAGAGCTAATATGATTTTATAAAAGACTGCAGTTCAAATAAACTTGCCAGACTAAAAGTAAAATGTAGTTCATTTAAAATGAACTCAAAGTAAAAGTTAGTTACTTTTTAACAAACAGGAGGGCATCTTTTCTGTGCAGTGTGCAAATGACAAGAGGGAATATTAATGTCAAACTACTTGTTTTAAAATAAAACACAAAATGCTTCCCCAAAATGGTTTAAAAAAATTACCTCTTTATGCTGAAAACTTAGTCTGAAAACTTTAAAATGAAGGCCTTGGAGAAATTAGAACCTACTAAAAACAAAACTAAGTGGCAATAAAGCAGAAGGGAATTGGTCAAGAAGTGTCTCCCTGCACCGCCTCGTACTCAGACACGGGATCTAGATGAGAGGTGTCCCCAAGGACCCCCTCAGACTTGGAAACAGGAACTAGGTGGAAGGCATCCTCCTGGACCCCCTCAGGCCAAGACACAGGATCTGGAAGCGAGGCATCATCCAAGACATCCTCAGACTTGGGAACAGGAACTGGATGAGAGGCGTCCGCCTAGACCCCTTCAAACTTGGGAAAGCGAGAGGCACAAAAAATCAAGAGGACCAAACAGGAAGACAACTTTATTAAACACAAAACACCAAACCCTTCAAAAACCCTGAGCAATTGTACCCTGCAAATCTGAGTCTCTCTGATATATTGTTTCAGGTAAAGAGCCCCAAAGGGAGAGGGGCAGTTCACAATATGCTCCATTTTGTGTTGGTCTATCGTATAAAATCCTGGTACGGTAAATTGCTTTTGAGTTTATAGTTGTAGCATGAGAAAATGTGGAATGATTGGTATGAAATTACAATCAAGCAATGTGTCATTATAATTAGGGCAGCCTCTTGTTTCTCTGCTGATTGATTCAGATGCCTTTTGTTTTTTATTTGTGGTTTTCTGGTTATGTCTTCAACTTCAATGTGATGCATTTTAGTTTGAAGCTGCATAGATTTAAAAACACTGCCCGATAACTCGGTGTGTCACTTTGACATTTCTCCATCTTTTCTACCTTTCCACTCAACGCTTGAACCACAACAGGAAGAAGAGTCTCCAGACCACGAAGAGCTGAGGAGAAGAGAGAGCTCCCCCACACCTCTGAAGAGAGATCGGTCCTTCTCGGAGCAGGACCTTGCCTTACTTCGAGGGGATATGCCTCCTTCTCTGTCGCAGTCAGCCCAGCTGGGTGAGACGATCAGACTGCGGGATGTGAGACCCAGGTCCAGGACGCTGACCGGTGCTGGACCTCCCCCTCATTACAGAGGTGTCACTAATTATCCCTTACAGTCCACTTCACATTAATACACAGAGATGCAAACAGCATGAACAGACCGTCTAATGCCTGAGATCTTCTGAATAACGCACGTCTCCTGTACATCCCGAAATGTTTCATAAATCTTAATTATTAGGGAAAAAATGTCAGACTTTTTAAAAAAAATAACTGTAGCTCTTCTGGAAAGCCCTGAACAAAACTGATGATGAATTATAACCAATTATCATCATTTGTACACGTGCAGTTATTAAATCCTTACCAAACACATGTGCAACTCAGTGAAGTGTTCAGTCTTTCACTGAAGGGAAAATGACTGAGCTGCTGTTTCCCTGCAGACGGGGTATTCACATTCACTGCCGTTTTAATTCTCCTCTTCTCAAAGGAGAAAAATATCAGACTTCTTTTCTGAGAGCAGGTCTTTGAGGAGCAGATCCTTGACATTTCTAAGTGATTCTAAAGTCGGCAGAGGCAAAGACAAAATGGCTGCACTGTAGGTGATACGGTTGATAAAATGTTCTGATTTTATCAGGTTTTATTAGTAAATGATCCACACTTGTATAACAGCTTTGTAACATTTCCAGGTTCTGCAAAGTGCTTTAAAACGTCTCGCTTGCACCAGATTTCCGAGCACTTTTTGGTTTATATTTTACACTCTTTATGCAAAGTGTAAAGTGCTGGCACTTTACGTGTTCTCACTTTTTATGAGACAACAACAAAGCTAATGCAAAGTCGAGCAAATCACTACAGAACACACAACATTGATAATTATCAGGTTCAAAACAGTGGATTCAAAACTTTCATAGTTTGCAACTTTACTGAGTTTTATTGTTGCTCTAATTTAGGCAGCAGTCATGCTGATAGTGACAAAATGAAAAGCCCCAGGTCTGAGCATGATATAAACCACATATGAATTAAAAAGTTCTTCACACTTGAATGATAACGTTTTGCTCCTGGACAGCAAACTCACAGCGCACAGTTGTCGCTCTGTTAGAGCCAATCAATAAAGTAAAACAAATTTATATTTTTTTAGTCTTTTCTGCATCCCTTGCTGGAAGATAATGATCGATTGTTTTAGACTGATGGTCCTCTATTTTGCACGTGAAAAGCCAGTTTCTGGGAATTCCACAGCAGACTGGTTTGAAACATGTCAATAAGGTGCTATTTAATACGACAGATCCTGTTGGCAGGTATCAAACTGATGAAGTCTTTTGGACGAAAGGCGAAACGTTTCTTCAACAAAAAAAACCTGTCCTGATGACACAATTTAACTTTTGCGATGCTAACCATCGTTTTCACCCTGAAGACAAAGTTCAAAACGATCCTCCACTTATTGCTGTGTTCATTCACGTTACCTATGGTTGACTTTGAGTCAACTGCAAGTTTGAATTGTAAGGATTTGGTAAATTACAAATGACAAAACTAACAGTAAGCAACAAAAGCACTTCTGACAAAAGTCAATTTCAAATCCAGCATTGTTTTAAGTGGATCAATAATTAGTGCAAATGTATAATAGTAGTTCTGGTTTACATGGTCTACCAAATTAACAATACACATTAATATCAAAATATCATCTTAATCTAAATATATGCAGCTATAATGATGTAGATTTTTTTTTTCATTGTGTATTTGGACATGCGTTTCTTCTGGTCTCCACTAGAGGGTGCAGCACCCTCTGCACCCCTAGGTCTTATGGCCTTACAATCATATACTTAAAATAATATCAAGGTCAGTGTGGTGGTGGAGTAGGATCAGTGTCAGAAATTAAACTTCTGATCCTCCAACTAGTCAACCTCCCTACCTGATGGCCAAAGCTGTCGCAATTTGATTATAAACTTTAATATAGACATGAACATACAGCATGAAAATCTAAACAGAAAGCAGATAATGTCCATTAACCTCGCTCTGGAGTCTTTTTAAGGATTGATCTGAGTATATTTAAAGTTTTAAGGTGTTTTTAAGTGTTTATATGTCTGTAAAATTGGCTAAAAGCAAACAGGAGCTAAAATGTGTTTTTAGATAAAATCATCGGCACATTTGAGACTAAAGACAGAAGTCTTCATAATGTGTCAAATTTGGAACTTTTTTAGTTTGAACTTGGTCCTTAAACTAATTTAAAACCTCAAACATTAAAATTAAGTGCCCTTAGATCATTGACCTTTTTTTAACCCTCTATGCAGTAAAATCATGTAGGGATTTCGGAGACATTATGTCACCAGTTTCTGATTTAGACACAAATGTTATTAAATTACGGTTACCTCGGTGAAATAAGAGCTGTGTCTGTCTCCCGTGATGCAGCACCTCTGGACAGCAGGTTTGCATGGATTCACATCAGCCACAAAGCTGCTGAGAGACTTCTGATGGATTCTAATTTGATATAAAGATGTAATGATAAAGTCTGACTCGGTGATGGAGAGTAGACACAAAAGTGTGTGTGCTGTATGAAATTCCTTGCATAGGATTGTTATCTGATTGATGGCTATGATTCAAGCATTAGATGCCTCACTGTCTGTGCACAAAGACATTTGTTGGGAAACTATTGTGACCCCCAACCTGCAGTGCAATCCATGTAGCAGGCATTCAAGATGAGTTACTGGCAGGATAAAGGTTTATGTAGTACCCAACTCTGCCAACAGGGGGCTTCTGTGCCTAAGCTGTGTCTGTGTGAGGATGTACAGTAAGCTCCTAAGCCCCAGCTGTCATGAGCAGCTGATCCAAATTATACTACAGATGATGTTTACTGGCCTGTTCCAGCCTCCCTCTCAGCCTGTTTACTTTCCATTAGAGCCAAGTTGACACCTTCCATTTGCAGGCCTGAAGAGGCGCCCACTTTCAGCTGCGTGTGGTCTGCAAAGTTCGTGCAGACCTCACAGTGAGATCTAAGTTACAGATGTAGGAGCACGAGCTGAATCTCGGCCCTGAAATCAGATTAATAATACATGACTGCATTAGAGGCAATCGACAGACGCTTTGAGGGGCTGAGATCTGAGACGGGACTGAATGAAAGAGGCTGATGTGTAATTCATGGAGTTGTTTGGCTGAGATTTGAGTTTTTTTTTTTCTATTTCACTCTCTGCTGGACTCATTTGATACGTCCTTATTTAATTCATCATTTCCTTTTACTGACTTTTAATTCATTTTCACGTTCCAGCCTCCTTCCCAGCTCAAGGCTGGGTGCCACCATCTCCTGCCCGCCTGTCTCTGAGTTCAGTGGACGAGGCCACAGAGGGACCTGAATCAATGTCAAACTCTAAAACAGGAGACCAGTGGATGGTGAGATAAAATCCACCCATTTATTCTCATTGTTTCTATTTGCTCTGAACGTCACAAGGTCATTCAAATAAATTTCTGCCTCAAAAATACTCCTAAAGTAAGCATCAGCATTTGATCAAGGCAAAATCATCCACCAAATACAGAAAAATTATGAAGGGCCCTTGAAATAAAGAGATAAAATGTCATTTCAGTCAAAGTAATCCTTAATAAAATAAAATAAAACCTTTAGGCTCAGAACTACTGGATTAAAGCCATGTGCTCAAAAATATTACTAGAAAAGGTAAAAGAGTTGTGGTCATCTTTATGAATATCTTGGCCAACATCTATGGGATCATGATTTCTTGGGAAGTGGATTATTTCCCCGGAGACATTCAGGCTGATACAAAGCACAGATGTATCAGTAACAACAAGTAAACATTAACATCTCATTGCATACTAATTATTTTGTCAAACCTAAATAAATTCACTTTTAGTGATAAAATAATGGGATTATAAAACACAGTATTAAAACTCTATATCACCTTTTTTAAATAATCTGTCTAGAATTCCTTGAAGGAATGCATATCGCCCGCTGTCTTTCATGCCACAGTTTTCAGACTAAAAGCATCTTGTGTTGAGAAACAATAGAGTTAAAGCCATTTTGAGCAAACCTTGAACAAATCTCTGCTCTGCACCTGCAACACTGAGTTACATCCACGTTTGTGTTAGCTAACGGCAGCCATCTTGAATTGTGTTGACTCTAAAAGTTAATCAGTTGTTGAGGTACAGCCAAATGTTCCTTTGTGAAAGTTTCATTAAAGTCTGCTCTCTGGCTCATGAGATATTTTGCTAACAAACAAACAGGGTTGACCGCAACATTTAACGCAAACGTTTTGAGCAAAAATTTTACACCACAAAGTAGCATTTGGAGTTTGAGTTGTCGGTGGCTCTTAGCTAAGTGTTCCAAATTTTAGTTCAATACCTGTAAAAGTAACTCAATTGTAGCCTTTTTTAAATGTTTTTGAAGGTTAGTCGCCCTGGTGGCCATCTTGAATTGGATTGACTCCAAAGGTGAAACAGTTGTAGATGTACATCTAGTAATCATTTCCTGAAAGTTTCAATAACGTCCACATAGTGGTTCATGAGATATTTTGCTAACAGACAGGCACACACGAACACTGACACTGTTAAATATCACTATGACCAACCTTTCTGCATTCAGAGATAAAAATAGTTTCTAAGTTTTATTTATCAGCTTCCATGCTGACTTTTCATGCTCGGCTTTTTTTTTTGCACTTTCAGGATTTTAAAGTCAAAATCAACTTTATTGCCAAAACTGCAATATGTGCAGGATTGAAATGTCATTACTCTCAGACCCCTGGTGCAACAATAACCATTAAACATTTAATAAACATTAGCATAAAATGAAATAAGTCTCGGTTCAGTTTTTAAGTTAGCCAAATGAAAAGTTGGGCAGACTCTTTGTCTTTTTGTCCTCAGGAGGCGTTCAGCCATCCTGTGGAGAGTCTCGCCTTAACGGTCGATGAGGTCATCAACGTGCGTCGAGTGCTGGTCAAAGCAGAGATGGAGAAGTTTCTCCAGAGCAAAGAGCTCTACAACAACCTGAAGAAAGGAAAGGTAGCCGTGTTTCCTGTCTGCCGTCGTCTCTGCGGTGTTTACAGTACATGCACTCAGTATTTCTGTGTTCTCAGGTTTGCTGCTGCTGCAGAGTCAAGTTTCCTCTCCTCTCCTGGCCGTCTACATGCCTGCTGTGTAAAAGGTATCAGAGACAACTTTCACTGGACCTCCCAGGAGTTTTAAGACTATTTTATTATTGTCAATTCAACTTTAAAAGTTACTCTAAATTCTATGTAAAAAAATATATGTTAGAGAATTGAGCATCACTTAAATTGTTCTATGCCCAAATATTTTTAGTAAAATGAATTTTGCATCATGTAAAAAGTACTTGAAGAAAAAGGTACTGGAGAGTTTATTTATTTGGTTGAATGACTTCTGAAAACTGCAGGAAAACTGATTGAAATGAGTTCATTTCTGGTTCATATTGAAAAATACAGTTCATATAAATTGAATCACAATTTTAAAAAAATTAAAAAAAACATGCTCCTTTAAATAAAATGTAATCATTCCTCCAGGCTGAAAGAATAGATCAGACACCCTGATATAAGGATTCAACAAGGATACAAGGATTTTTATTATCATTCACATCACATGTGGTACATGAGGTGGAACGAAACTATGTACCAGTACATGGGGTCCCAGTTACAGTACATCCAACAAAAATACAAATTGTAAAGAAAAACATTAGTAAGATCCGAGTCATGGACTAAGAATATACTACATTCACTAAAACTGAGAATACACAAGACTAAGAAGCACTAATGGTACAAAAATAATGTGCCAAGACAACAGCAGCACAAACATGAGTCCATTTGAGCAGATGAGGACTAATGAACACAGCAACATGAAATAATCAGTAGCACGAGATCAGCTTCATGGATAGTCAGCAGCACACATCAACAACCAAGTGGCATTACAGCAACATGACAGCAATGTTTATATAAATATTTCCTTCTTGATATTTAAGTAAACAGGAATTTATTAATTTTGTTCCTCTTGCAGGTCAGTCTGCAGCTCCTGCAGTGCAAAGGTAACTTCATACCTTTGACTTTGTTTAGTAATGATTAAATATTTTTTTATTTTCAGATGTGTTATGAATCTATCTTGGAAAAGATGCAGCAGATGTGGCAAAAGTAGATTAATCTTCTTTTTTGCAGTTTTGTCACATCTGTATTTCAGTTTATCTACAAATAAATGATCTCAGAATCACTCAAGTTAAAAGCTACAAATAGAAATCATTGATTTGTGATTAATTTTTTAAAAATAGATTTTTTTTTAATGTGTGTAATTTGTCAACTAAAAGTGTGGTAACCAGTCATCAAAATATTTAAAGATCCTTATATTTTGTAAAAAAAAAAAAAATTTTAATTAAAATGCTGCACTTTTTATTATAAAAATATCTATATTTTGATTTAATTTTACAAATTTGTTGGCGTCTTGTTCAGTTGAAACCAATAATCTGTTGAATTTAATGTTTAAATTAAGACATATTGTGCACAAAAAGAAGTGTAAAATTCTATAAACTTTAATTTTTGAAATTTTTTTACGTCTTATGAAAATGTTTTAGACGGGCTGCCTTCTTTGTTGACGTCACTTTTTCTCCTGTTGTTTTGTTGGTTCTGACTTGTTGCCTTAGTCCCGACCCGTGTTGGATGTGTGGTTCTGTGCTCTGTAGGTTTGGACTTTGTGTGCATTTTTCGTGATGTGTGCAGTGCTGTGGCTCATCTGTTTTCAGATTACCGTATTTTCCGGATTATAAGGCGCACCGGATTACAAGGCGCAATATCAATGAACGGGTCTGTTTTCATACATAAGACACATTAAGCGAAACAAAACAGTCAGATAAATCAAACTTTATTCAACTCGTTCACAATAACTCTCAACGTTGTTCAGTTGTACCACATAAAATCGGTTCAAGGTCAGTAAGCACAACCAGAATTAATACATGAGGTGCACCGGATTATAAGGCTCACTGTCGATTTTTGAGAAATTAAAGGATTTTAAGTGCGCCTTATAGTCTGAAAAATACGGTATAATTTGTTGAAGCGTGTGTTTGAGTTGGGTTTTTATGTTGCTTTGTTTGTGTAATTCATTTAAAACCTCTTAGATTTGCGTGTCTGTCTCTTAATGTGAGAGCTGTCGTCGTCTTGCTGTGCCTCGACACAGTTTGGCTGATTTCCTCACGTCCTGCTTCTTCGTCTTCCTCTCCTCCAGATGAAGATTCCCTCCAAAAAGATGGCCCATATTCCTGTGTACACTGTGGGATTTCACAGCACGCCAAAAAGTCACGGACACAAAAGTCAAGTCTACAAGTGAGTCTTTGTTTCGTCAACAAGTAGAAGTTCAAAATAGGTTTACAATAAAAAGCACAAAAGATGTATTTTTTAGCCTGGTCACTGTTATTTTAGCTAATACTGAAGCCAAAATAATTGTGTGTGTCTAATGCCATCATGATAATTATAACAGCTGTAAAGGTTCTTCACTATTAAACAATCATGTAAACTTTATATACTGTAAGGGGGCACTGAGAGGCAAAAGAAGCAAAGATTTATATAAAAATTACCAAAAATGGCACTAATCCATCCACTTAAAAAAATAACACGTTTCAAACAATAAAATCTTTCTTGACCACTCTCTTACTACAGTTTAAGTTTCTTAAAATCTAAATTCTGAATGTAATTAAATTAATCTAATAAAAATAATGGGAATACAGCCATGTTTCGGCATTACTTTCAAATTGTATTATTTCTATCAGTTCAAACACTTGTTTGTGGGTTTTGTCGAACACCTGCAGTTCAGGTATTATTGTTATTAATATTAATATTATTAATAAATCAATTTAAGAAACTGGTAGGTACGGTTCTGCTAATCCAATAGTGGAACTAGCTTTCTGTTTAGCGGATTAGTGTTTTTGCTAACTTTGGAAAACTTTAGCAAAATTAGCCTCCGCTAAATCTTAATCTGGCAAATTTAAGTCTGCAAATTTTTTAAAGACACTTCTGTGCACTAAAAGCGTACAAGAGGATGGTGATTTACACAAAGCAATGCTACGCTCATAGCTAAGCACTAACCAGATGATGTCACCACCCTCGCAGTGCTCCCCCCCCCGACTCATGGTGTCAGTTTACAGCCAATAACAGAGACTTTAACATGAAAGCCAAACCAAAGCAGATCAGGGGGAAAAAAACATGAAAACCCATTTTCACACTCAGTAACATCGTAAAAATTCTGAAACATTGGCACACATAATTCATACCCAGCATGCTTTGCGATGCTCACACTGTGTCTGGGACGTGACTCTACAAACAGATTTATTACCAAGAGAATATTGATGATGACGTACAGCAACATTGTACTTAGTTTATAAAAGTAGTTAACCACAAAGAGGATCGCCAACGTGAGTTAAGCAGGTAAAGGTAATGGATGGCCGGACACGAGGAAGACGTCCAACAAACATTGAATGCATCACTCTCACCTCTGAACGGGACATGGACGCTTTATCTGTGATTTATGAAACGTTCTGAGTTGTGTTCACTTACAATGTTGTCACATTACAGACAGTCTTACAGTGTCAGCAACAGCAGTGTATGATAAAAGCGCATTAGTGTTAGCTTCCAATATATTTTTTTTAATCTATTTAGCAGTTTAGCATTGGCAAAGCAAATTCTTTAGTTAGCAAATTAGCTGTTAGCAAAGCTACCTTTTTGGTTAGCTGTGCCCACCTCTAAGAACAAGTTATTAAGAGTAAAACAACAGTTTAAGTGCCAGTTAATGGCTTTCTTTCCTGGTTTGACTGGAGGTTTCTTTTAGCAAAAATGGAGTCATTCCTCTCCATGGGTGCCCACCATGCTGCACTTGCCCAGGCTGGGAGAAGAATCAAATAAATTCACTAACATTCATATCCAAACTGGCATTTTATAATCCTCTGAATCTGATTGTTTTGAACTGGCTGAACTGAATATAAATCTGAATTTTATCAAACTGCCATTAAGTTACAATTTCAAGTGATTTGGATCACTTGTTAGAGTTTGAATTGGATATGTTGCCCTGAAATGAGTTTAATTGCAAATTGTTGCCATATTTATAAATTTAATTACTTTTTTAAGCTGTTAGAACAATTTCATTTTGACTCAAACATTTTCAGACTCAGAGGTGTTTTAGTAAAAATCAGTGAACTCACAAGTATAGACAAGCTTCAATCAAATCTGTTAATAGTTACTACGTAACGGTTCAGTGAGTCGTTTTTAAACTCCTCTTCTTTTGTTTGGGCCAATAAAGCTGCATTTCTTCACTTTGCACAATGGGAGCTTTAGATGGCTCCAGTTTGCCTGCTCAGTTTTCAACAGACTGCTTCTTTCCAAACACACAGAACTGAAGGTAAGAAGTTTAACTATTGAAGCGAGCCCCTCCCTCTATGACTGTTAGCCTTTTCCTAGCAGAAACATCCCTCGTGTCTGAGACGTTCGCCTCAATCCAGTCACCGCCCTCCGCCACTCCCTCCTTCTTTTGTTATATAACCACTCCTCCGGGCCTCTAAGCAGTCATTATGTAATAATTACCCAGCTGTCATTAGTATCCTCACAACTCGTGTCTTTGTGAAGACGGTTCACAGCCAGTTGGAGGGAAACAGAGCGTGTGTGCTGATTTGGTGTCATGTTAACATGCTAACACCTGTCATTGAGACCCAACGGTACAACTAGAACAACACATGATATGTTTTATAATGTTAAATGTTATTTAATCACTCAAACTGACCTTAATCTTCTCGTTAGTGACTGCGGCGGTGCTGCCCCACCTCCGCTGCATCGTGTTGTTTATATGTTTCTGTTTAAATAAGCTTAGAAAGATTAAGCGCAGCTTTTTTCCCCCAGATGTTTGGCTGATTTACAGATGGATTACACCATGTGTGTACATTTTTCTGACAGTGTCATAATATAATATAACAAACATATTAAATTAAGGGAGGAAAGGATGTGAAAGAAATTTGAGCAGCTGTTTTTGACTTAATGAGATGAAGTGACTGTATGACCCAACAATTTTCAGTCAGGTTGTCTGGACAGTTTCTTTTTTTGTGCTGAAACGTTTCACCTTCCATCCAGAAGGCTTCATCAGTCAAGGTAACACACAACAAAACTGATTCTTCCCCCAACAGCTTACTCCAAAGTGGAACAAACCAGTTATGTTGGTGCTAAGATGGTCTCTTTGGCACGCCCCCTCCTCCAGTGCTGGCCCTCACACATAACTGGTTTGTTCCACTTTGGAGTAAGCTGTTTGGGGGAAGAATCAGTTTTGTGTTGTGTGTTTCCTTGACTGATGAAGTCTTCCGGATGGAAGGTGAAACATTTCAGCACAAAAAAAGAAATTGTCCAGATGACCTGACTGAAAATTGTTGGATTGTAAATCTGGATTATTGAGCATGGACTTTGTTGACTGTATGACATTTTTCTCACCTAAATTAACTCGGAGGACATTTTTGTTATTGGATTTTAGTTAAACTCTCAAAAACAAACCAATGGATGAACAACTACACCTTCTGGAATCAAACACATCCACTTTAGCAGACACAACAATGACCCTAACTCTGACATTGCTACAGATATTGATCTAAAATGTGGGGTGGTAGTAGATGAGCATCATCCTCAACATGTCTCAGAGCACCGTCCTTTACATAATTTACAAAGTTTGACCAAAACGGCTTTAACTCAATCTCTTCTCAGCATAAGCTTTAGTTTAAATATCCAACATGAAAGCTGGCGGGTGATATGCATTCCTTCAAGGAATGCCAGGGCTTTAATTAGAATCCGTTTTTTGATTAAACTGAAACACTTTAAAATGTTAAATAAAAAAGGAGAAATATAATTTGCTTTTTTAGGACAAATTACTTGATAGAAGTTCAGACAAGAATTAAAAAAATTTAATTTGTCATAAAATTCTGGGTTTTGGTGGAAGATGTCAAAACAGATTAACACAGGACGAGGTCTTAACACGACTCACTTAAATAATACATCATCCTAAAGAGGCTGAGTTCATATAAAGACTTGAGTAGTTCAACTTCTCGTGGTTAACAACAGTCGATTATAAAAAATTTTAAAAAATTGGCAGAAACCATGCAAGATAAATAATAATAATAATAATAATAGAACCATTGCAATCCATATAGAATGTCTAATCATGGTTTATTAGCAAACTTTAACTAAAAGAAAACTAAATTTTGTTCTTTAGGTGGCAGCCCTTGCTGCTTCTTTGGATTCGCAGAAAACTGTCAAAACACTTCCGTCTTCCGTGTTCTTCTCCAGATCCGTGCGAACGTTGTCCCGCCGCTCGGTGGAGGAGGAGTTCCCCCACCTGTACGCTAACGGCTGCACGCTGCGCGACGTCTGCGCCGAGTGCGCCAAGTTCGTCGTCGACGTCGTTTCCTCCAGCCGCCGGAGCCTGGACATCCTGAACAACACTCCGAAGAGGGAGGCCGCTCCGAGGCCACAGCTGCAGCGTCAGTCCAACGTCGAGGCGCTCCCTCACACGTCCGCACAGCGTCACCCTCAGTCTCAACACAAACAGCTCCACGCATCATCGCCGCAGCTCCGCCGCACGGAGACGATCAGCAGCGTGAGCCACCGAGTGGCTTAGACAAACACTTTGTCCTGCACTGACCACAGTGCACACACCTAGACGAGTTTCAGACAGCCCAATGACATCTATAATCCAGTAAGGGGCTTTAAAGTTAATTTTGCTGGGTTGAAGCATTAAATGTATCATTTAGTACATCTTGTTTAGATCTAAACAGTTTCTGAAGCCGTGTAGAACCTTTTTATAGAAAGTATCTTCACGTCTGCTTTGCAAAGCTGCATTCCACGTCTCACTCACATGCGCAGATCTGTTCACTTTTAAAGCTTTCAGCATCTGCTTTCTCTGCTACACCATGGCCCCCCCGACACTCACAGCTATACTGGGGGTGGGGTCGAATGGAGGGAAAGGCAGATCATGAGAGCGCAGGAAGCGAAGGGGACGATGTGAGACAGAAAGCGGAGAACTTGGACATTTTGTTTAGCGTTAGAGCGTTTTGGGCATGAATGTAAGTTACAGAAGCTTGTACACAGAAAAACAACTGTGATTTTTATTCATCCAAATAAAAGGATTAGAAACAAATCGCTGCTGCTGCTGCTGCATAGCGAGGCCTCCTCTCGAAGCTTAGAACGTCCCTGGCCCTGCTGGGGGAGGTCTGATGGCGGAGACACTGTGAATGTAACGGGTGAAGCTGCACCTTTAACCCACAAAGCATGATGACGGCAGTGAGAGGCGAGCAGATGAAACTCCCACCTCCTTCACTCCCCGTGGACGCTTGCAATCTGTTCTGGTTTTATAAACACCAAGTTAACCTCAGCTGCAATAAAATCTAACAACAAACACGACCAAAGCTGCATCTGTGAGTTTGACTGTTTTTATAGTGTTCAGCCCACAAAACACAGCTTTATGAAACAAAAAGGACTTCCAGGGTCATAAAAACAACTGTTAGAACAAACTAAAGATGGTAATAAAGGTTCTGTCTTTAAGAATATTCTAGTCTGTCAAGATTTTAGACAGTTCAGTGTGAATTCACTAACATTTGCTGAAGAAGCAAAAACAGAGTTGTTAAAACTAAAAGAAGCGGCACACTAGCTAAAAGTTGCAAAATGATAGAAGATACAAATAGCAAATGTCTAGGTAAAAGCTAAAAGTAGCAAAATGCTAGTTATAATCAGCAAACGTTTAGCAAAAAACAGCAAAGTATTATCTAAAAGGCTAGTTAAAACCTAAAGTAGCAAAATGATAGACGCTAAAAGTGGCCAAATGTTAGCTAGAAGCTAAACTAAGGATAAGGCTAGATGGAAACTAAAATCAGTAAAATGTTAGCTCAAAACCAAAAGTGTCAATACAGTACCTGCAAGCTAAAAGTAGAAAAAGGCTAGCTGACAACTAAAGTTGCAGAATGCTAAAAAGCTAAAAAAAAAAAGAGGTCTGAAGCAGATTTCAAAAAAGGAATTGAGGAGACTTTAATGCATTTCTATTTCTTTGGGAGAAATATTTATAAAGTTTATAAAGGGGTAGAGGGTGGGCTCAACAAACCATCTTATAACCATCAAACTGGTTGGCCCACTATGTGTGTTGGACTGAGTTTGTTGTGGTTCCTCAGACTGATGAAGTTCTTTGGATGAAGGACGAAACGTCTCAACAAAAATAGAAACCGTCCAATTGAATGACCTGACTTAACTTTGTTGGACATAACAAAATCGATATTTTGAAAAGTCTAAAAGTTACAAAACTCAAAAGTCACAGCATCCGTCTCCTGAATGAGCTGAATGTTTTACAATATAAATGAATAAAATAGCACTCAGTGTGCAGAATTAAAGTGTAAATACAGAATCAGCATTGAACACATTTAGACAAATTCAGTCTGTTGGATGTTTCTCTGCTTTTATAGGTTCTGTCATTTTCTACATTTATTAAAGCAAGAAAACAAAAAATCCCACTGATTTCTATTTGAATTAAATTTAAGATTATTATTTCAAGAAACATTAATTTATTTACAAATTAAATCTAAAGCAGACTAAAAGAACAATAAAAGCAGAACTGTAAGAGTCCATCTTTCTGCGTGCGGTTGGATGGGACACGCCGGCTGCTGCAGCTTCTGTCATGGAAAATTCATGAAGGTGAGTTGACGGCCTGCTGAAATGTTCACAGGTGTGACTCAGCTGGAGCAGAAGAACAAAGTCACCTGGATGGAAAAGTCATGTTGTGTCTCTGTTGGAGGGCCGAAGAGTGGATCTGGATAAAAATCACTGAGAGGATCTCACAGCAGCTAAATCAGTGAACAAGCGTTGCTTTAAATGCTCCCAAAACTGAGAAGAAAAAAAAAAAAACACTTTCAAATAGAGATATTGATTTTCATTCACTCCATAAATAGCAAAATCTGTTTCTCTAGGAACCACTCAAACAAAATAGTCGGTTATTAAACATCTCTGCAGTATTTGTGGAACGATGACCTTCTACAAAAATGGTTTCCAAGCTTGAATCCCACTGAACTCGAATAAATCTAAAAAGTTATGTTTGTAAGCCAGTTTAAGTTTAAGCTGTGGATCAGAAAATATGATTTTTCCAGGGTTCTGATAATTTGCAGGCTACGTTTTAATGACAAACTCTCAAAGACAAGCAGGAAGTTATGCATTTCAGTAGCAGTCAACAATATTCTACAGACAACAAAGTCCATAATTAATAATCCAGGTATAAAATCCAACATTTTTCAGTCGGGTCATCTGAACAGTTTCTTTTTTTGTGCTGAAACGTTTCGCCTTCGATCCGGAAGGCTTCATCAAAGGAAACACACAACAAAACTGATTCTTCCCCCAACAGTTTACTCCAAAGTGGAACAAACCAGTTTTGCTTGTGATTAGATGGTCTCTTTGGTACGCTCACCTCCTCCATTGCCGGCCCTCTTCCTTGTTGACAGTCTTGTCAAACTGGTTGAAAACAACAAAGTCCATGCTCAATAATCCAGGTATAAAATCCAACATTTTTCAGTGAGGACATCTGGAATATTCTACAGACATCATGTTTAAATGTGGTAATGTTTATTAAACAGACCTTGATTTGCAAAAAACTGATAAAAGTTGTTTGCTTTAAACATGCACCTCACTGCATGAAAAATCAAAGAGGAAAATAAACATTTTAAGCTGAAATATAATTTAGAGTTTTGTTGAACAGCTGCTAAGTGACTCTTTAAGGCCAAACTGACTGACGGGAAAGTGCAGCTGAGTCCATTAATAGAGACTACAATGTTGCGTTAAAAAGGCTTTACCTTCAGGCAGTGGAACCGTGAAGCCTGGAGAGAAGCCCCGCCTCCTTTCATAAATAATTAACGATCTCTGCACGCCCATTGGCTACCTCCTTTAATCCGACTGCAGTCAAGGTGCCTGGTGGAGACAGAAACAGGAAACAGGGTGTTACACTTTCATAATAAAAACATAGCACGTATGTATAATTTTCTGTCAAACAACTGATGTTTTAGGGCCCAGGTGTAAAAATGACATCAATTTGTGATACTTCCTGCAGGTTTTAGTCCACCCCATCTTAGCATCAACAAGATAAATTAGATATGTGCTGCTACCAAATTTGATTATTTAAATTAGCTTTGCATTACATTTTGGGTAATGATTTGATATCAGGCAGATTGATGCACTGATCATTAGAACTTCCTTATTAATTCAATATTGAAACAAAGTATGAATGTAAAAAAAACATTTTAACTCAACAACTATTGTTTCTTAATGTGTATTATTTTATATTAGCTGTTATACTTCTTAGAAAGTTAACTTTGTTTCAGTTTTTGTCAAAACTTGGCCATCAAAATTTAATAGATAAGAAGTAATAAATTTGAAATCCTAACTAAAGTTGTACATATAAGATTTGTATTCCTTTTTTGGAAGAAAAAAAAAGATAATTTTTTTTTTTCATTCATTCATCCTTTATTTAGACAGGTTAATCCCATTGAGCCTCGAGGACTCATTTACAAGAGAGACCTGATTAGACCTGAAGTTACACAGTACTTATCTGTAAATTGGTTGTCAGGCTTTCCAATTGACACAACACCCGTGTCTTTGGCAAAAAGTTGTTATTCTTTTCTTCTGATAATCTAACAAGATTCCCAAAGTAAGACAAGGTTTATTACTTTTTGAGCATTAGTTTGATCCACAAACTCTCAGGACTTCAGCAAAATACATTCCAATAGTAATTATTCGCAAAGTAAAGCAAGTAAAAGGTGGATAACTTCTCAAAGCTGCAACAAGATCTGAATTTCACTAAAGGGCACAGCTGGTACAGCTGCTGCCTCTCAGTGAGAAGGTTGCCAAATACCTTTGGGTGGAGTTTGCATGTTCTCTCCGTGCATGCGTGGGTTTTCTTCAGGTACTCCGGTTTCCTCCCACAGAACAAAAACATGCATGTTAGGCTGACTGGTAACTCTAAATTGTCCCTAGGTGTGAGTGAGAGAGAGAATGGTTATTTGTCTCTATGTGTCCCAGTGATGGACTGGAGACCTGTCCAGGGCATATCCGTCTCACACTGTGATTGTTAGATATGGGAACTAGTGACCCCCACAACTCAGAAAGGAAGAAGTAGGTAAAGATATTGGATGGATGATTATTATTATTGTTTGACAAATTTGCTCTATTTTTCCCTTCTTATGCTTACTTTAGGCTTTAGTTTTTTTTTAGCTACTGTTTAGCTAGTTTTAGCATTTAGCTTCAGTTTTGTTAATATTAACTTTTAGCTTGGTTTTGTTGAAAACAAAAGCTTACATTGATTGATTGATTGATTGAGCTTAAATATATATTTTTTAGTGTTTTTAGTTTCAGCTTTAGGCTACTGTATTTTTTTTTTACCTCTTAGTGTGCTCATTTTAGTCTTTCAATACTGTTTTGCTAATTTTAGTCTTTAGCTACAATTTTGATCATTTTAGCTTTAAGCTGGTTTTAGCTTTAGCTACTTTACTTCTTGTTTGGCTTTTCCCGGATCTAATCTATTGGGCTTGTCTTCTTTTATTCTGAATGTTTGTTGTGAATCTTTCAATTTTCATTCTGCTCGTTTTGAATATTCAATTTACTTTAAAGTGTTTTATTTTGACAGGTTTAAACGGATGTTGCTTTACTGTGCTCGTGCTAACTTTCCGGTGGAAGTTGGACAGTTTTACGGCTCGAACTCCACAACAAGCCTTTCAAGGCTGCCCTGTCGCAGCCGCTTGTTCTCTCTTCCGCCTGTTTTCTGGGAGTCCTTCTGTCCCGCTCCCACCCCCCGGGTCTCTCAGCAGTCACGGCGGGAGTGGGTGTGTCGATGCGAGGCAGCGTAGTTGGTGCTCGTGCGCACTCTGAAAAAGAGGAAAAAAAGTTGGTGATGAGTTTAGAGTGAAGAGCCGCCCGCCTCGGAGCAGGCTAACAGTCCAAGAATGGCAGTTTGGACCAGAGCGGATAAAAACGGTCAACTGGACCTTCTGCTCCGGGACCGCTGGATCCGAGTGGCCGCCGAACTCACGCGAGAAACGCTGACTTTAACGGCCGAAGCAGAGGTAACCGGACAGGGGGGCGACCACTGGGACTACTCTTCCGCTGGCTTGCGAAATGGCATGTCGAACGGAAACGACCCGGGAGTGGGTCTGGGGAGCCCTGGCCGCAGTCCGTCACTGGGTCAAGACCAACTTCAGAACCATGGGGTTCGCGGGCGAAATGGCAGTCCGGGTCGAGGAGGCGTCAGTCGGGGTCAGTACGATGGAAACCACGGTGTAAACAGCGCTGGGAAGTACCCGATTAACGGCACGAACTCTGACTTCGGAAGCCCGGGTTCCAGCTACGGCAGTCCGGGGTCAAGCTTCGGGTCGAAACAAGGCGACATCCCGGTCAACCTGGACGGCTCCTCCGAAGCTGTGCGAAAAGTCCGAGTAGTCAAACAAGAATCTGGCGGGCTCGGGATCAGTATCAAGGGGGGTCGCGAGAACCGGATGCCCATCCTCATCTCCAAGATCTTTCCCGGGCTCGCCGCAGATCAGAGCCGGGCTCTCCGGGTGGGTGACGCGATCCTATCGGTGAACGGGAACGACCTCCGGGAGGCAACGCACGACATGGCGGTCCAGGCGCTGAAGAAGGCCGGGAAAGAAGTGACGCTGGAGGGTGAGTTGGCCAACGCGAGCGCGGGGATTTGAAAGGCCGAGATTAGACTCCCGAAGTCTTGTCCGACCACACACCTATGCGAACAGAACTTTCTTGTATTTTTCCAAGTGCTTACACTTCAGCACCGAAAAACATTTTATTTGTCTTAGTGTTGCACATTTTAAATAAACTTTGATACGAACCAAAATATAAAGTTTCAAACCAAACTCCACAGGTTGCCGTTAAGAAATTTAATTTAGGTTAGCTGATTTTTCTGGAGATGGGTTGGTCATGTTCTCTATACGTTTTTGCATCGCCCTTTTCAGAAAGACAAAGGCGGGCGATAGTGTGTACACAGGGTCCCAGTTACATCCAACAAAAGTATAAATTGTAAAGAAAAACAGCAAGATCTTAGATAGGAACTAAGGAAAACGTTAAACTCAAAATACGCTAAGCACTAATGGTACAAAAACAATACACCGAACAAAAACAGCATGAACGTTCAAGGTTCTTTGGCATTCCACCACATGTGGTACATGACATGTGGTACATGTGGTGGAATGAAATTTTGTACACAGGGTCCTAGTTACATCCACCAAAAATATTAAAATGCAAAAGAAAAACAGTAATAAGATCTAAGATATGAACTAAGAAAAGCATTAATAAAAATGCACTAGTAGCATAAAAACAATACGCTGAACAGCAGCACGAACATGAGTCTGTGTGAGCAGATGAGTACGAACACAGCAACATGAAACAGATCAGCAGCAACATGAAGCAGATCAGCAGCAACATGAAACAGATCAGCAGCAACATGTTATTTTTCACAGTGATTATCCTGGTTAGAGATTCATGAGTGTAACAGCCTCAGGGTAGAAGCTGTTCCTCAGTCTAGTGGTTCTACACTTAATGCTCCTTAACCTCCTTCCTGAGGGGAGTGGGGCAAAAAGTGTGTGTGCTGGGTGAGTGGGGTCCTTCATGATGCTGGTGGCCCTCTTCCTGCATCTGGAGATGTAATTGTCTGTGATGGACAGATATAACATGTTTGTTACCAAAATATCTCGTTAACTGGAGGAATACCATGAAACTTGTAGAAATAAATGACAGGACGCACGCCTACATTTGATTAACTTTTGGACACAACCGGATTCAAAATGACTGCCACGGCCAACTGACCTCAAATAGCACAAAAATGACTACAGCTCAAGTCAGTTTTACAAGTATTGAGTTCAAATTTGGCCTCGTAGTAGTTGAGGCTGACCCCCAACACATATTCTGAGTTCTAATTGCGCAGCTTTTCTTAAAACTTTGCCATCACCTATTTCCGTCTGATTTCACATACATACATTTATTGATCCCCAAGGGGAAATTTCATAAATAATTTATATTATTATATTTAATCATTTATAAATGCCAATTAGTAAAGTAATCTATCTAAAGAAGGAAGTAAGCCAACAGATTACCTTAAAAAAAAAAAAAAAAAAAAAATTCCAATTTTACAGATATGTTAACATTTTGTGTGGCTAAAGCTGATTCACAGCACTGCATTCAAGCATTAAGCAAGCATAAGAGATTTGATTGTCCAAACTTGGTCAATTTGACAGTTATTGAGCTAAAATCTGGTCTGGTAGTAGCTGAGAGTAATTCAGAGCACATACTCTGAGCGTGACATCTTGCGATATCGCATGTTCGCATGGCGTTCATTTCAGTGTTCGTCCAAAAGGCTACAACTCCCATCACGTTCAGTGTGTTGGTACCACAACTGTTTACTGAACACGTTATAAGGCTCGGACCTGAACAAACACAGTCCTGTGTTGGTCTAAGACCAAGAGAGCTTAAATCAAATCAACCGAACACAAAGCCTTTGATTAGTGTAAACAGGACCATGACCACAGATATGGTCAGAGCTAGTTACATTGCAGTTTGCAGATTTGAATGTCTGGCTTGGTTAAGATAAGGTGCTACAGTAATCATGAACGGAAGAGATCAGTTATGTTCATCTACTGGTGCTGTCCTCTGAGAGCCAAAACGTCCATTGTTTTATGAGATATTTTGCTAATAGGCTGACAAACAAACAAACCTCAGCAAATACTTATATCAAAGTTGCCTTTTGGCAGCTGGTGATTATTCTAAAAGAAAACAACTAATGAAGGCAGATTCATGAGATTTTGTCTCCATGAGACACAAGAAGGTCCACTGAAGGTTGAGATGTGTAGACATGTCTTCTGAAATTTATACAGCAGTTATCGTCTTTAAAAGTAGCCTGCGGATATTAAATATTCTATATAAGGATGGGGCAAACGTTTGGAAAATAACTGCTTAAATGTGAGTATTGAGGTTTTCTTTAAATATATCTAAGTGGACACGAGCTAAAAACTAGAGGCTGACCAGTAAATAGCTGTTACTCTGCTGCAAACGACTTCCACGAGGTCCTCAATTGTGCTGATTCCAGTTCAATCTTTAGAAAAGTTTGAAAAGACTGAATTGTAGGCAGAGGGGCGAAAGAACCCTCAGGGTTTGGAAACTTCAGTTTGGTAAAAGCTAAAAGCTGTGTTTAATGGTTTGGAATAACCGTGTAGTGAATACTGATCAATGTGTGACACGTTTCCACTGACGTCTAAAACGAGGCCTGTTTAGTACGACCCAGGTCGGTGCGATGAACAGTCTGAGCTGATGAAATTCAAACATTAGCCCTGTTTAATTTAAAAACATCTGGAATATTCAACTTTTCGACAGTGAATGCAAAAATAGAATGCTCCCATGTTAAAACCCCAGTTTTACATTTTTCCTCCTTCTGAAAACGTTCCTGGTGACCTTCAGGCGCAGTCAGGATGATGGACCGTCTGCAGGTCAGGCGTCTGTTTGCAGGAATCTGTCACTGGACTGTTTGTGGATCTTCACCGCTTTGAGAAGGGGATTTCGGTCAGTCGGAATGAGGCTTGAGTTTCCAGAACACTGTGCGTGTACACAATACACAAACTCTCAAATATTCATACAATTAGCTCAGGAGCCCTACATTCCTGACCTCTGCTCACATGTGCTTATTTAGGTCAAAGGTCAACGGTGCCGGCTCTGACTCGGATGTTGTATGAAACCGCAAATTGTCAGTAATTTCTGCTTTTGGTTCTGCAGAGAATGAATCAAGAAAACTTAGATTAGATACCTATTTTTCACTAACTGCAGCAGTTCTATCTGGATCTTCGGACCAATTTTCTCATCTGTGTTCAATCAGGGACAGCTGGGACTGATCCTTTTTGAGCACATTGTTGTTGTGGGACGTGTTGAACTGGACCGTTATGGTAAAATCTTGCACTGCACATCATGCAACAACTAACTCAAGGGTAATAGATCTGAACTTGCCACATATTGGCTCAGTAACCCTGTGGGACAATATCTTAAAAGTTTATTTAGCATTGGCAGTTTTCAGTGCAGCATACTAATGATGCATTCAAGGACATTTGGAAGAAATTTAAATCAAAAAGTCTTTAAAGGCCAGTTAATGTGTTTGTATTCTTCCGTCTTATTAAAAAACAAGTTGTATTATTACAATCATGTTATCCAACACTGCAAACTTGGAAAATGTTCATGTTTAAGAAGCTGAAATGATTTTCTTTAGATGTTCAGAAATCCACTTTGTTTTAATTTTTTTAGGTCAAAAATTATTGCAAAAAAAGTTAGACGTTCGAAACATATGTTGTTTTCGTGATGTCTTTCGAGATAATTAACTAAATCCAAGTCACACTGTCTACATAGTGTCTTTAGTGTCCTCTGCCAAATATTTAAACTCGGTCATATGATCTTAAGATCTTTCTTTACCACAACTTTCCTCCAAGGAAGACTCTTGTTTTGCTGTCCCTACCCTCAGCTCAGTTCTGACTGTTCTCATGTCCGATCCCGTTTGATATGCCTTACTAACAATTATTTTACCCTTTTTTTGTTCTTTAAGTAGATGAAGTACATTATTGCTCTGTAACCTAAAAGTTTTATTTGGGCTTGTTTTGCAGCCCCAAGACTTTTCATTCACTAATTATTCTTGTGCATGTAAAGTCCAGTATGGCCTGGACTGGCCCAGTCCCAGTCTTCCTCGGCTCTGTTTTTTTTTTTTTTTGCTTTCAGCAGAGTTCCACTTCGATATAGGCGGGATTTTCATAGTAAGGCAGCGTGAATCTCAGATCGCCAGTAATTGCACCACGCCGTGTGTCCAGGACACTTTACGTTGCTTTTTTTTCTACATAAAAAGAAAAGCTCTATCACACAACTGTCCAGAAGCAAGTAGCTGAAGGAAATTGCGGTAATGAGCAGTCGCTGGAAGTATAACTCATCTGTGACGTGACCACCCCGGGCCAGCAAACTTATCAATGGCCAGCAGTCTGCTGACGTCGTATCTTCAGCACCAGCCTGGCCCGAATAGAATACCAGGTCTCTGGGTTCCAAAAATTGAGCTGGAACTGGGCCAGATTGCCCAATGCCAACACTCAAAACTTGGGATAGAACCTGGGGCGGGCTAGTCCAAGCCGGTCCTTACAGTGCATAAGGGTCAGTAGTTCATTACCACCTTTGTGTACCAAAGTTTTCTTGGGTCAAATGTAAGTCCATCTGAAGCCAGTTTGGTTGAATTGGTATCAACAGAACGATGATTCTGGTCAAACCAATCATAAACAAAATGACTGAAACAAAAGAATCAAGATGTTTGCGGTGGCTGAAAAGCTAAAGCAGAGCTGAGCTGTGCACTTCCAGCAAACTTCAATTAGCTGAAACAAAGTTGTAAAGATGAGTTGACCCAAATTCCTCCTAAATTATGGGAGAGAGTGCTGGTCATACAGGAGGCAGTCATCACTCCTAAATGTTTACCCAAATTCTTTTGTATCAGGAGGTTTGGATTTTACTGTTTCCACATTTTGACTTAAATTTGTTAGAGGTGTGAATCTGAGGTATTTAACTTAAGTTCAATATTCTAAGACTAGTGCAAAAAATATGCTGCATTGTTAACATGAATCCTGTCATTTTGGTTCATTTAATGA